AGCAGTTTTTAATAGTAAAGAAGTTTTATTTCAAATTGTTTATAAACACACATCAAACCAATTGCAATGGAGGTCGACGAGGAAGATTTCGAGGTACCAACTTCAAGTAGCAAAGGCGAAAAGAAGCGTTTCGATGTGAAAAAGGTAAGCACGGACATCTCATTCTCAAGTTTTACAGTTAACAAAAAATACACCTTTTTTTAATTTATAGTGGAATGCCGTCGCTTTATGGGCCTGGGGTATGCATAATATAGCCAAATTTACTTATTATATTATACGTAGTCATTTGCTTTATGACTACATAACCTTACTGAAGTCCTTGTAAACACCGAAAAATGCTCAAAATAATTTTGGTAAAATTGTGGATTTTTTCTATTTCTAGATATTGTTGTAGACAATTGCGCTATTTGTCGTAACCATATAATGGATTTGTGTATAGAATGTCAGGCCAATCAGGCGTCTGCTACCAGCGAGGAATGTACTGTTGCGTGGGGCGTCTGCAATCATGCTTTTCATTTTCATTGCATCTCACGTTGGTTAAAAACCCGACAGGTGTGTCCATTGGACAACAGGGAATGGGAGTTCCAGAAATATGGCCACTAGGAGTTTCCAAGCGGTAATTGAGGGATCTTGCTCTTTTTTATTTCATCTTCAAAACAATAAAGGCGCTATTCAAATCGCCCACATATAATTTATAACGCGTTTGCTATTAAACTGCAGTATTTTTGGTTTAACGCTAAATAATAACCTATAACTAGTTTGTCAAAATGATTGCAAAATAAATGAATTTGATACAAAAGTATAAAAAGTATGTTATATGTTTTTGATTGAAGATTCTCATCGCACAAAGTCAGCAGTAACTTTCGGTCTCTCTCAGGTCGCAACGGCGTAAATCAAGGAGTTAGCCCGATAACCGCACCTGAAACTGTGGAATTTTGCCCACTTCCTTTTCTCATGAAGAAGCTGCTCTTTGTCGGAATCGCCGTTATGGGACCACTATAGCAAATAGCTGTCATACTGAACAATCAATGTCAACTTCTTGTATGGAAAACTTTTTTAATTGAAGAGATATCTTTGAAATTTGGCATGGAGTGCTATCTAAAGCAACGCAACGATCTCGGAATGAATTTTTTTTCGATCGGACCACTATACATAGCA